TATTTCTTCTAGAAGTTTTATAATTTTAGATTTTACATTAAGTCTTTGATCCATTTTTAGTTAAATTTTGTGCATTACACAATCTGTGGACTAAAATCATACTTAAAACTCACTTTAAAATACTTTTTATTTTTTGTGCATATTTTTGCATACAAATGTCCAATTGTTCCAATAAAAGCAGTTATATGTTTAAAAAATGTTTCCTTTCTTGACTAAATTAACTTTATTAAGAATTAGTTTCCCATATTTTTGTGTGTCTAGTGCTGGACTCTGTTCTCTTCCATTGATCTACTTCTCTATCTTTACATCAGTTCTACAGTAATTTAATTATGGTAGATTTATAAGTCTTGAGATTAGGTAGTAAGTCTTCCAACTTTGTTGATATTTTTTAAAAGTTATTTTTGCTCTGCTAGGTTTCTTGCATTTCCATGTAAGTTTTAGAATCACTCTCTAAATGGATTTTCTAGAAGCAATTTCTGAGAAAGTGTCCCATCAGGGTTCCGACTGGGTTTACATGGACTCTACAGGCCAGTGTGGAAAGAATCCACACCTTAACATCACCTCTTCTGACCATGGCACCATCTCTCTTTTGGTCTTCATTTCTTTCTTTCAGCAATGTTTTATAAGTTTTAGTGTATTGGTTCCTTTTGTCATTAGATTTATCTAAATGTGTCATATTTTTAAGTCTATTGTAAACGGTAATTTAAAATTTCAATTTCCACTGTGCACAGTGGCTCTTGCCTATAATCCCAGCTACTTGGGAGGCAGAGATCTGGAAGGCTTGCCAATTGAGGCCAGCTCAGGTAAAAAGTTACTGAGATGCCATCTCAGTTAGTAAGCCAGATGTGGTGGTGCCTCCTGTCACCCCAGCTACTTGGAAGGCTATAGATAGGTTAGCAGTCTGAGGATAGTCCAGGTGAAAACATGAGACCTTTGCCTGAAAAGTAACTAAAGTGAACAGGATTAGCGGAGTGGCTCAAGTGGTAGAGGCCCTGCCTAACAAGCACAAGGCCTTGTGTTCAAACCCCAGGAATGTCAAAAAAGAAAAGAGAAATCTGTCCATTTTCTCCAGGTTGTCTAATTTACTGAAGTAATCCTTATTACTTTTGGATGTCCATAGAAACCACATATAAGGTCATCTCTCACCTCCGATACTGACTTCCTCCCTCTCATCCTTCATCACTTACCTGAGAGATTCATCCACTTGATCGTCTCCAAGGACCAGCGTGCGGCTTCATTACTTTTCTATTTGGGGAGGGGGTTTGTATTGCATTGCTTTCTTTTTTGTGTCAGTTAACTCCTTTTATGCTATATATTTCATCTTTAGCTTGCTTATCTTCTAGTTTCTTAAGGCAGAAGCTGGGGTTTGTTGACTTGAAACCACTCTTTTTCTTATCCAGGCGTTTAAGGCGATCACCTCATAAGTACATCTAAGGGAGTCTCACATAACCTTGGACCTGTGTTTTCATTTCACTCACCCAAAAACACCTTTTTAATTTCCATTTGTTTTCTTCTTTGTCCATGGTCATAGGAGCTGAGTTGTGCAGTTTTCTGATACCTTCCTACGCTGACTTCTAACTCCATGTGTCACAGCTCGCACTTTGAACGATGTGAGTGTGGTTAAACTCACTTAGACCTGATTGTGGACCAGCACACACTAAGTGTTTACATGCACCTTAAAAGAAGGCGTGTTCCTCTGGGTGAATGTTCTGTAGATCTCAAGTCGTTCACCTCCATCTGCTTCCCAGGTCTCTTGTCTTCTAGTCCCATTGACTGTGGAGAAAATGGGGATTGGAAGTCTCTAACTGGGATTATGGACTTGTCTGTTTCTTCCTGAAGCTCTTTCACGTTTTGCTGCGTGGACTTGAATATCTGTTTTTAGGGCACAAACACTGCCATATTGTCCCCTTGTCATTACGAGCCTCCCTCTTTGCCTGTCATCACAGGCTTTGTCACTTTGGTCAGCTGCTTTTGTTTTCTTCTTGTCCATGGTCATAGGAGCTGAGTTGTGCAGTTTTCTGATACCTTCCTACGCTGACTTCTAACTCCATGTGTCACAGCTCGCACTTTGAACGATGTGAGTGTGGTTAAACTCACTTAGACCTGATTGTGGACCAGCACACACTAAGTGTTTACATGCACCTTAAAAGAAGGCGTGTTCCTCTGGGTGAATGTTCTGTAGATCTCAAGTCGTTCACCTCCATCTGCTTCCCAGGTCTCTTGTCTTCTAGTCCCATTGACTGTGGAGAAAATGGGGATTGGAAGTCTCTAACTGGGATTATGGACTTGTCTGTTTCTTCCTGAAGCTCTTTCACGTTTTGCTGCGTGGACTTGAATATCTGTTTTTAGGGCACAAACACTGCCATATTGTCCCCTTGTCATTACGAGCCTCCCTCTTTGCCTGTCATCACAGGCTTTGTCACTTTGGTCAGCTGCTGGTACCCCATCCCATCTCTCTGGTTAGGGTTGCTGTCTCTGTACTTATGCATGTGACCTGTCATTTGTTACATTCAAAGTACACTTTTGTGACCAGCACAGAGTAGAATTGTCCCTTCTTAAGACATCCAGTCTGCCAATGTTGCCATTTAGGGAGAGATTCAGGCTCTTTACACTGAGTGTAACTTTGATATGGTTTGATTCAAAGTATAACTTTTCTATGTTTTCTCTTATTCTCGTCTCTTCTTTGTCCCTTTCTCCTTTTATTTACCTCAAACATTTCAGAGACTGCCTTACATCTGTTTTGGCTGGTCAGCTGCCCTGTTACTGAGCGATTGCCTGAGGGTGTGTGGTCCATGCCTTGATCTGCAGGTCTGCTTTAAGTCAGACTACGCCATGAGCAACAGCCGCAGTGCTGCACTCACTCCCTTCCCTGACCCTTCCCTTCCCTGCTGTCAGACGTACAGACAGGCTCAGACAGGACATTCCTGTTATCGTTCTTTTAATAATTATCTTTTAAAGAGATGGAACAGTGAGGGAAATCTTGTCTGCTTACCCATGTGGTCATCATTTCCAAAGCTCTACCCGCCTGCGTCCTTTTGGGTCTACTTTTGGTGGGTTCTTTCCACCCTTTTAGGACGATTTTAGCTTCCTTTTGTTTTGGATTGATTCCTTTTCTGGATATACACTTCTCACTTGACCGTATGTTTTAGTGTTTTTAAAATGTCGCTGCCCTGGCTTCCCGCTTGACTTAATTCAGAGGAGAAATGTGCTGTCGTCTCTGGACTGCTCCTTCACAGGGACTCTGCTCGTCCCTCAAGCTGTTGTAGGAGCTTTCTCTTTGTCGCTGGTTTTGAGCATTGTGCTTCTGAGTTTTCTTTGACTTTCTTTTGCTTGGGGCTGATTGAGCGTCTTGCATCTGTGGATTCATAGTTTTTATCAGGCTTGGAGAGTGCTGGCTGCTCCTTCTTCCCATATCAATCCACAGGGCGCTTTGTGTCTCCTCCTTTGGAAAATCCCATTGTGTGTGCTGTCCTATGGTTCTTTTCATTCCCTCCCTGGCTTTTTCACTTTTCCATCAGCATTTCATTTTGGAGAGTTTAATTCTAGATGTTCCAATTTACTAATCTTTCCTTTTCCAGTGTCTAATCTGCTGTTAACTCCATCAAGTGTATTTCTCGTCTTGTGTTGTAGCTTTCATCTCTTAGAAGTTCAGTGTACCATTTTTAAAATTCTTTAGCTGGGCACAGGTGGCTCTTGACTGTAATCCCAGCTACTCAGGAGGCAGAGATCAGGAGGATTGCAGTTCAAAGCCAGCCTGGGCAAACAGTTCACAAGACCCTATCTGGGAAAAAAATAAATAAAAACCATCACACACACACAAAAAAGGGTCCTAAGTATCCCCACTGCTGAAGTGGGACCCTTCTGAATATTCTACGAAATACCCTTGAACCTCGAGCTTTCCAGTCTGGCTGCTGGGAACAGACACTCTTCCTGGTCCTGTGTGAGTGCTGTCCTGTTCAGATGGTCAGTCCTCTAGATGTGGGCACTTTACTCCTTGCACGTGCTGGACAGTGCTCAGTGGAATACTTAAGAGACCCTTTGCAAATCTCTTGGGTTCTCTCCTTTTCAGAACCTTGTCCTGAAAACTGTTACTGTCTTAGTTTTTCTGGACTTTCAAATCTCTGTCCTCAACTCCAGGAGTCCACCAGATTCCACCAGAGTCCCCTCCCTGAGCCATGGCCAGAGCCACTCTGGAGCAAGGAGCTGACATATAGGGAGCATTCACCCTGCTCTTTTCTGGTTCCTTAGGGACCACTGTCCTTTGCTGTCTGCGATCTCGTGTCTTGAGGGCAGTTGTCATACACATGTCATTCATTTCTTGGTTGTTTCAGGCAAGAGGACCAATCTAGTCCCCTAGAGGCTGGAAGCAGGAGTTCTCATGGGCAAATTTCTTAACTTTTCTGAACTTTTTCCCATCTGTGAAAGAAGGATAGCAGTAGTTAGCATACAGTTTCATCGTGGGGATAGAATGAAACCCAGGTTTGTGCAGCACCCGGCAGTTGGCAGACCTCAGTCAACACTTGGATCTTCCCTGTCTCTGCCCCTGGCTCACTCTCTCTGCAGACTTCACCTGGGTTTCGGCTTGATTGCTGGCTGAGCCTTAGGTTGCCTCCCTGCAGTGATCACCAGGAACTGTTTGTGTTTAACTTGATGAGTTTCTGAATTCTGCTGTCCAGGTGACATTTGGGGGCAAACTTTATCCTCCCTGAAGGAGGCATTTGTTTTGTCTGAAATCCCAACCAGTTCAACCTACAGGAACTGTTCATATCATATGAACGTCAGAAGGTTCTACAAGGTCAGTGATGCGTGGGCAGGATTTAAGAGGATCATGATGTTCATAATGCAGCATGACTTTGTGGGGCTACCTACCAGGCCACGAACTTTAACCTTTTTCTTCCCCTTTTCCTCTTTCCTCAGTTTCCTGAGGAGCTGCGGGAAGAGCAGGCAAGTGTGGCCAGGACCTAACGTTTCTTCCTCCTCTTGTCTCCTCTCCTGTGCAGTGTCTGGAGGTCGCAGCCGTCTGCATCTCATCGATCTGGGCAGCTGTGTGAAAGCTCTTGGCAAAAACCGAGAAGGAGGCTCTGGGCTGTGCCTCTCACTGTCCGCTCTGGGTAACGTCATCCTGGCTCTGGTCAACGGCAGCAAACACATTCCATACAAGTAAGTGAACTTTCCAGAACAGGACAGGTAGGTGCAGTGCCAGCTGATGGCATCCAGGCCTGTCCAGGGAGAGCTGTGCCAGAGAGAGACAGTCTGGACCACATTCTGAGTTTGGTGCCAGAGATCAGCCTTTGCTTTGATTGTGTAAGGCATCATCTCCAAGCTGGAAAGTTATGAAAGTACTTAAATTCATTCCAGTCCGAATTTTATGATGCTCAGAAGAAATAGGAAATGATCTTAGTTGAGGTCTCCAATCACAATGACTTGGATTTTTGTCACCTTGTGTCAATGTGTCTGTCTCATAGGGGTGCAAGCAATGGACTGAAGAATGGCTTAGTGTCCCTTCAGGAGTGGGGCTCCCACATTAACCTGAGAAAAATACAGGGCACCCAGTTAGAATTTCAGATCAACAGCAAATAATACTTTAGTGTACGTATTCCCCCAGTATTGCATGGGTTCTGTGCAATCTGGTGTGCTGGCTGCATCCCTACTTAAAAGGCCTACTTAGGCCTGGAGAGTCCTCACACACCATCCCATAAAATGTCTGTTCCCCAATTTGTTCCTGCTCCCAAGATTAGAGCTTCTCCTGTGTCTGGCTAGCCAAAGGCCTGCCGTGTTATCTGTGCTCACAATACCCCAGCCTTACCTCCTCCTTACGGCATCGCCCGACTCAGCTTTGCCATTGGACATTGTGGTGGGGTCGTGGCACTCTCCTGGCTGTCTAAGACCCTGTGCCTCTCGCCAGCTATGTGAACCTCTGCTCATCATCAAATGAGAGTTATAGCTGTAAATCTTATCTGTGTTACAAGACCCAGAATGACAGGACAAGTATGAAAGGTTTTTTGATAGAATTTAGAACATTGTCGATAATAACAAGAAATGACAACATGGTTGAGCTTATACCTATCTGTTTAAGTGGAAGTAACACCTGCCTGAGAGTTGCCATAAATAAATACATGTGGAATCATGTTTATAATCTGTAAAAATATTACAAATGCAGCCTACAATTGTGTGGGAGGAGAAAGGTAAGTCGGGAAGTTCCTTCTACTCCGTGAGTTTTCCTTCCTCCACCCTAAGTGTTCGCCGGGTAGAGCTCTTACTAGACTGCCTTTAGGGCTTACACTGGGGATTGTCATCCTGGCTGGCTCAGTTCTTAAAATTTGGAATCCCAGCTGGATAAACACAGAAACTGTTCCCAGTCCCCGAAGATACCATTTTCTACGAGAAAAGAATTCAAGTTGAAGCTTTATAAAGTTTCTGTTTCTGTCATTTGTGCTGTTGAATAAACACAACTGTGTGTTCAAAGAAAGAAAAAAGGTCAGTCTGCAGTAGAACGTCAAGGTTGGAGACCTTAGAAAGTAAGGAGCTGTTGACCTTCCTTAGTTTCCACAAAACGAGACTCACGTGTACAGATGTGATCGCTGAAGAGATTGTGACGTGGTCAAGGCTTGAAATTATGACATCATCTATGACATCATTGTGCCTATGACATCTCACCTTGCTACTGAAGAGTGGCACGCTTTGTGATTTCAATTTCTATTTGCTGAATTGATGGTGGAGGGTGGATGAATGAAAGCAGATGAATCTTTTAATTTAAACTACCTTCACATCGGTGGAAGTTCGGTTTGACTATAAACAAATAAGGAAGCATTCAGAATTGTTTTCACGACTCACTCAAGATCTCTTGTTAAATTAAACATATTTTTAATATCAGTGAACCCTAATAAAAAGAGCTCTTGGGAGGACTGACCAAACGTGAACCCCCAGCCCAGCCCTGCAGACATCTGCCTGAGCAGCACAGGAGCCCGTTCCTAACATTACGGGACCAAGAGAGGGATGAGCAAAGGGTTTCTGCATCTGACTTCAGCATAGGCAGTGTAGCTGCTGTGCTGAAACGACACCCCACTATAGAGTCACCCCCACCAGCAGACCCTGGCATGTGGCAACCTGGGTGCAGGCTTCCTCCAGCTGCCCTGGCCTCGCCTCACAGACCCCACCCAGAGCTTGTAGGGCTGCCCAGCACTCAGGGAAGGAAGAACAGCCGTCTGGCTATCCAGCCTGCTCTCTCCTCGCCCAGACACTCACAGTGCAGTGACTCTGCCAAGCTGCCATCCCTAATGCCTGTCATGTGCGTAAGCCTCGCAAGGCCTTTGCTGAAGTGTCTCAGATTCTCAGCCTACACTCAGTATTTGATGTCTGCAAATCACTCTTGCAGAGTGATTGATCTACCCCAAACCTTCCTCCCTTGGAGTATGAAAGGTAAGACACGGATTTACTCTTGTCCCCCAGCAGCTGGGGACTGGACCGGACTGCATGGCTTTGCCTGGTTCTGGAGGCCTTGGCAGCTGAGCCCACATGCCCCCCTCTCACCGAGCTCTGTAATGTGTTAGCTGCCTTGCTCTGCGCAGTGGGGAGATGCAGCCCGGCAGGCTGGCCCAGATTTCTTTCATCAATTCCATCCTGGCTCCAAAGCTTCATTATGCAGCATTTTGTTAGCCTGCTAGGCACCTTTCAGGGTGTCACGCCTTGTCTTTGCCTTAGGAAGCAAACTTCCTTGCCCACAGTTTCTTTCCCTCTTGCTCTGCTTGTTCTCAGGAAAATCAGGAACCTGATTCCCCGCCCTCCCCCATCCCTCCATAACACAAAAACCCCACTGCCTCTTCATTTGTCACCCTGGACAGCTCTGTGCTCAGAACCTACATTACTCGTTCCTGCTTCTGGGAAATTTACTGGATGTACACATAGGGGTATAGCCTGTCTCCATTTCTCTTCATCATCAAACCAGACAATTTGTCATGGGAGCCAGCAAGGGAGTTTGCATTCATTACCCATCCCATGCTCCCGCAGGTACCCTGGCAAATCATATTGCTTTTGCAGGTGACAGACACAGACACGGGGAGCAGGTTCCCAGCCTCGCACTACACGGTGCAGCTGGCTCAATGCTCCAAGCACCAAGTCTCAATCCTGAATGGTGACACCATTCAGAAAGGCAGGCAGGAAGACTACCAAGGGCTCCATCCACCCCCTGGTTGGTTCCACACCCACAGGCTGCCCACGTTCCTCTGTCACAGCAGGGCACCTCGTGACCTGGTCCTGAGCATTTGGACGGTGCGTGTGCAAACTTCCTTCTAGGCTCATTCATTGCCGTCATTTACTATTCCTCTCACTTCTTGGGCAGCAAGATGCTCAGTGTTTGCATTTGATGGATTTTAAAAAAATAGGCAGGGGCCTTGACACAAGTCCTCATGCGCTCAGCCAGTGTCCCTGGCACACACCCTTGGCATTGGTCCCCAGAGGGGCCACCACAGGGTCTATCAGTGGACTTAGCTTCAGATATCAGGCCCAGCTGTTCTGAAGGTCCACAGTCTTTCCAGGGACCTGGGCAATTCTAATCACAGTGCAGTTCCCTTGAAACAGATGCTCTCTCCTGTTAGGTGTTGTCTTGCAAATGGCACAAGACCTTAGGAGGCTCACTCATCACATGGCAGTACTGCAAGTACTTACCTTGGCTTTTAACTGGTGCTCCACTGGGAGAAATGGCCGTACTAGGTCATACGACCTGATACACAGGTGCCAGCCACACAGAAGCCAAAATTATGGCACTGGGTTTTTGCAAAAAAAGAAAAAGCTTTTTATGGAGAGTGTCAAAGACACAAGAAAAACAAAAAGGCTCAAATCTGTCTCCCTGATGGCATAGCAGGGGAATTTATGGGAAGGGATCAAAGAGCTGCAGCTGACTGGGTGTTGGGAAGGGGGAGCTGTAGGGCTGTTTGGTGGAGGTATGAATAGTCATCGGCCTCCACACTGGTCAGCGTGTTTCTTTTCTGGGGTGTTATATCCTGCACAGGGGATTTTGAGCCTGTGACATGGAAAGGCCATTCCCTACCAAGCTGGCTGCTTCTGCACATGGCCACTCTTGAAAGGCTGCTTTTAAACTGTCCTTGAATGGATTCTGATAGCTATTTCTGTGACGTGACTTAATCGCTGTGTTATTTGGGGAATTTATTTCTGGGTGTCCCGGTCTGAGCCAACCCCAAATCTACTTGCTTATTTGCCAACAGGCCACTCATCCTTGCTTCAAAACAATAGGAATTTGGTGATGGTTTGACCCCCATCACAGAGGTCATGGAAAAGTATTCTGTGACCTTCCATGTTGTGTCCGCCTGAGGTGCTCTTCCCAGTGGACTTGAAAGTGGTGCACGTGACATAAGTGACACTCGATCCCCTTGGTAGTGGGTCTGATCTGTGGTGCAGGTGGACACCTTGTCCTTGCCCTGTCAGCTCAGTCACTGCTGTATTGAGGCATAGGCAGCCGCAATGATGTCCCCTCCTCTCCACAGTCTAAAAACTACAAGAAACAGTGAAGCCCAAGACATCTGAGGTGTCCCTCCCCCAGGGTGATGAGGACACCCTATGTGGTCTGTAGTGGAAACACATTGCCTCCAGGGCCCCACTGTGGGATCAGGAGCCAAAAGCCCTTTTGAGAATGTCACCGTGTCTGAGCAAAGCTGTTCACTCAAAGCAGCAGGCAGCTCTAGAAACACAAGGTCAAGCCAGGGACTCAGAGGATCAGCACTTTATACACACAGGCAGCTTTTCCAACGTGTGAACGCTTCTCCTGTGAGGGCCGGCAGGTAGAGGAGCCTGCAGCCACGGGTCCACGACTCCAGGACTTTGCAGGATGCCCTCGCTGAAGTGCCACATCCCCTGCCTTGCCTGGAAAAGCGTGACTCCAGGCACCCATGTGGATTTGCCCGTCTGCTTTCTCAGAACTCGTAACTTGCACCAGTTTGGGTGGCTAGAGAAAGTGATTCAGGACAGCTCTTAAATAGGACATCTAGGTCCCCTGCCCACACAGGCCCTTTCCTCTGGACTTGAACATAGATTATTTACACACACCATGAAATAAATAGAAATTTACTGGAAAATGCCAATGAATATCAGCTGTCCAGATTTACCTAAGATAGCATGAGTGCCTCTGCAAGCATCCCTGTGTGAGG